AGCCGGCTGCCTGGAAAAAATTAGAAACTTTCCCCAGTTCAGTAACCTTCCCCGTATGAGTCTCCTACAACTGAGCTGAATTTGCTCGGAAATTAGAGACCGGACTCAATCCATCAAATGGAATTAAGAGAATAGAGACAGAGAAAGAACGAACCTGGATGCTGTAGAGTTGAAAACGAAACAGCTCTTGAATTGAAACAATCGATTCTATGCTCTTTTCACTCTACTTTCCATCATTATATGAGAAAGTAATCTCCCTCTCCAAACACCAGAGTCTCAAGAGTCAAGCAGCTGAGTAATTCTTTATTATCCATTTGGAATTTTTTAATGCAGTGTTAGTTATCATTATTAATTAATCATGTTAAAAACAACCAGTGAATTGACTTTAACAATTATACACTAATTTTATCATTTTTGTCCTATCAGGGTTTTGAAATAATAGCGGCATGGTGGAATCAATTGGATTCGAAAATCAACTAATGATAATTTATGAAATGTTAAGGATTGAGAAGGATTCCTAATTTGAAAAAAAAAAAATTATCGTGGACTGATGATAATTTATCTGGAAATGTTCAATTTGTTGGTCCAATTCTTGGTAGTTTTTGTTGCCAATGCAAAACCTCACTTCAATTTGTTTTCTTATAAATATAATGCTTTTTAAAACTTTTTTTAGGAAAAAGAAAAAAATCAAGTTGCAATATAAACACTTGAAACTTGTTAACAAGAACAAGATGAAAATGTGGACTAGGAATCTTTTAAATAAATATACCGTTGCCCCAGAAAGCCAGTTTTTAGCTCATGTATCCTCCATTCTTTTTTTTCTTATCCTTCATTTCTCCACTCCTCCAACCTTTGTGTAATCAACTAAATTATGGATGCAGCTTGTAACTAATTATGTAATTTAGCTGGCATTTCACATGACTCGGTGACTTGATCCTTGGACATGACAAGCTTAATCTCCAAATTATCTAATAAAGAAAGCATTAATCAAATAATAAGCACTAATGGATGCATTAGCAAACACCTTCTCTATATCTGCATGCTTACAAAAAGGAGTTTCTTCAAGACAAAAGAAGTTTACATCCCATGGTCCATCCATGGGTTAAGAAGAACTTGACTGTTACAATTATTTTTATCCGAAGATCAAGCTGTTAATGCTTACACATTGAGAGGATTGGACTTGCAGTTGCATCGACCAACACAAAAGCAGAACCATAACTTTTCGACAAAACCCAAAAGCTTGCTTTGTTTATTGTCAATCTTCACAATGTTGACTAGGAATCCTTGGAATCATTTGTCTGCCGTTCAATAACTACTGAGGAAACCTACAATCATTAAATCCGAAGTAACAATGTGGTATTAATAACGATTTTCCACCAATTCCAAAAGTAGTCTAATGCAGAAACCAGAAACTAATATAGATAGCTTCATTAAGAAAATCATGGAGCCATAGATATCACAAGGAAAATCATGGGAACCACTTTGATCGAACTTTAGCATTAACCGTTAGGATGGTGTGAATGCATAAAAGGTTAACAAGTCATTATCTCATGCAGATATGGGCGGGTGCATGCATTTCACTTTTCCTGGGAAAGATTATTAGAAAATAGGTTGGGTATTCATAAGAAATCATATAGACAGTTACTTGACATGCCCTTTCTTGTTAACCTCTGTGAAACCATTACATGCATTTTGTTATACCAGTCTGAACTGGTTAGTGAGACTTGACAATTAACAATCTACTTAATCATGGATGTTATTATGGTAACTTAAAAAAAGTGAAAAACATTGTAAAATGCAAAATGATGATAAAAGGAAAACAAAAACGAACCTGAACTTTTAAGCCTGCTTCAAAATGTATTTATCTTTTGCTTCCTTCATCAAAGAGTCTTTATCCATGAGAGTTATCTATGTGCTTGCTAAAGCTGGCAATTTAGACAACTGCATTTCCAGTTCTGAGACTTCTGAAATACTCAGATTCAGGCACTCCGGAGATTTTGAAATTCTTTAGTTGTGGCAGTACAGCCTGAATGCTCATGAGCTGTGGCAATTCTAAAAGATGCAATGTCTCTAACTTTGGCAATGTGATTTTGGCTGATTCATTGTCTTTAAACAGAACCTTCAGCTTATCACAAAAAGTGATTCGGAGGATCTGGAGGTTTTCTGCTGACAGTGACGAAGGAAAAACAGTTTCAAGTATTGGGCAAGAACATATATGCAATGTCTCTAACTTTGGCAATGTGATTGTGGCTGATTCATTGTCTTTAAACAGAACCTTCAGCTCATCACAAAAAGTGATTCGGAGGATCTGGAGGTTTTCTGCCGACAGTGATGAAGAAAAAACAGTTTCAAGTATTGGGCAAGAACATATATGCAACATCTCTAACTTTGGCAATGTGATTTTGGCTGATTCATTGTCTTTAAACAGAACCTTCAGCTCATCACAAAAAGTGATTTGGAGGATCTGGAGGTTTTCTGGCAACAGTGATGAAGAAAAAACAGTTTCAAGTATTGGGCAAGAATATATATGCAACTGCTTAAGATTGTTGAAGCAGGATGGCTGCCCTCCATGACATATAGTTTTCAAATTGTGAAGATTTGAAATCCATAGAATCTCCAGATTCTTCCTCAATTCAGTATCTTTATCCCCTTTAAAAATGCTCTCCATCCCAATGCAACTCTCTATCCAACAGCCTTTCAACTTATCCAAGTTGCCAGCAGTTAAATCTGACAGGCACCTAAAAGATGTATTTTCATTTTTAATCAATGAGAAATACTTAGACTGCCTGAGAGCATCCATAACAGCAGCTGGAAGATGATCAAACCCACGGATTTCTATAGACTGACCATCCCCTTCATGTGCAGGAAAATGTCTAGTCTTAAAGTAGACATCGCTGAAGATAAGTTTATCAGAATGGTGTTGCTTATCTCCATCTTTGACTTCCTCTTTGGAAGAGCAAACAGAGAAAACCAATTGTTTAAGAAAAGCAGGCTCCTGTCGGTTGTCTCTGGAGAATCTGTAATACTTAATATCACAGTGATCACACTTAACAGGAATCAACTCTGAAATCTGCTGAGGAAGTTTGTTGATTTCATTCCCTAATGCATCAACAATCTCAAGTTGTGCCAATGACTTCAGAGATGGCAACTTATATGAGCTTTTAAACCCGTGCAGTGACAGCTTGTGCAGGTTGGCAATATTTTCAAGAGATGATGGTAAAGATTCAATGGCTTCTCCAGAAAGATCCAGAACCTCAAGTTTTTTTAGAGCTTCCAAAGGCAGCGTAGTTTTTGAACCTGAGCAATCTCTTAATGAAAGCTCACTGAGGTTGGTGAGGCTGGACAAGAATGAAAAGTCTTCGAAGGTGACTTTTGATAGCTTGAGGCTGTGCAGGTTGGTCATACACCCCAAAAATTGAGATGTTATTTCATTGACACAACTTACACCAGACAGGTCAAGCTCCTGAAGGTTCCCAGGTCTATGCAAAGATGGGAGTGACTTAATCTTGGTTTCAGAAAGCTTTAGTACTCGAAGCCGAGGCATGTGCTCAAAGGATTTATCTTGTATTTCCTCCAATGCCTTGCAACCTGAAAGGTCAAGAACCTCCAGATTCACAGCCAAGCAAGGCAAACTAACCAGCTTCTCACAGCCTGAAAGGTCAAGGACCTGAAGTTGTTTAAGTCCTTCAAGTTGTGGAAGGTCAATCAACCCATGGCAGCCTCTCAAATGGAGTTCTGAAAGGTCCCTGAAATTGGGAGGTAAGTGACTGGTTTCAGTTTCTGAAAAATCAAGGATTCTGAGGGCTTCCTTGTTTTTGAGGTGATCATCATTGATTTCTTGCAACTTGGCAGCACCTGAAATATCAAGGATCTGGAGGGCAGATAAAGACTCCAGGCTTGGCAGTGTATTCAGGCGATCACATCCTCTCAATACAAGACGCCTGAACTCATTAAGAGTTTGGGGTGTTTGTTTATCTCGGAATATTGGCAAACGGTCAATCTGGGTGTAGGAAAGATCAAGCATTTGAAGCTTATGAAACACTGAGAAAGACTTGTCTGTGAATCTTTTAAAATTGGTAGCATGGCGAAGATCAAGGACCTCAAGCTTTACTGATTTTCGTAGTTTTGGCAATTTTTCCAAGCAAGAGCACCATCTAAGAATGAGCCAACGTAGTTCACTCAGGTTGGAAACACTCTCAGGTAAAGATTTTATCTGCAGTGCAGATAGGTTAAGGCTCTGAATGTGAGTCATTTCCTCGAAAATATTTTGAGGAATCTCCAATGAGCTGGCACCAGATATCTCAAGAACACTTAAAAGTCTTAGCTTTTCAACATGAGAGATATTCTCCAGCAGTTCACATCCCCTGAGCACAAGCACCAGCAGTGTGTTGTAAAGTTTAGATAAGGAGTCCGGGAACGACTTGAGCCTGGGATTAAAAATGACAAGAACTTCAAGGTTTGGCATACCCTGAAAGAAGGTTTCAGGAACCTCCCTGCAGAGACGACTGCCATCAATCAGCACCGTAGAGACTTTTTCTCCTTTTCTGCTACTGGCCAGTGTCTTTATCATACCGTCAGACCATGTAATTCTCCCAAGCCCTCCCCAACTGGCCTTCACAGGCACATTAGCCAACCCCAGATGAGATCTTCCATAGAAGTCACGGCAGTGACAATCAATCATATTCACTGCTGCCCCTTCAACAGCAACAATATTATCCTCTTGTATCTTCAACAGTCCCTGATCCATAAGCTGCATCACAACTCTGTGTCCCTTGTGATAAGCCTGCTCCATAGAATCTCTAGGATCCAAATAGCCTTCCATTATCCAGTGAGCAATCAACTCATTGAAATGGACAGCTCCATGCGTGCAAAAACATTGCCAGCTGTGCCAAAAACAGTTCACCATGACAGCATTTGGCA